CAGCCCCAGGAGAGGGTTCCTCTGTTCCTGGTCTGAAGGCTCACAGGTGGCTATTTCTGCAGGGCCGAGTGCATCCAGAGAGGGGTGTCACCATCGCAGGCGCAGGGGCTGGGCTCCAACCTTGTCACAGAGGTGCGTGTCTATAACTGGTTTGCCAATCGGCGCAAGGAGGAAGCATTTCGGCACAAGCTGGCCATGGACACATACAGCGGGCCGCCGCCGGGGCCGGGCCCGGGCCCTGCACTGCCCGCTCACAGCTCCCCTGGCCTGCCCCCACCTGCCCTCTCCCCCAGTAAGGTCCACGGTAAGTGCTATGTGGGTAGAGGGATTGGGACAGTAGATAAAGGGAACATGGGGGGGTAGGTGGGGGAGTTGGGGACCACCGCCACCAAAACCTCTTAGCACTCCAGTTTGAGTCCACTCCATTCTATTTACACTACTGTATCCACTCTACTTCTCTCCACTCCATGTCATCCACTCCACCCCATTCCATTCCCTCTGATTTGTGTTACTTCAATTCAACGCGTTCACTTCAGATCAAATCAACTCAATTCATTTCTGTTCAACTCAATTCAATTCAGTTCCATTCTGTTCAACTCATTATAATCCAATTGAGTTCATTTAAATTTGGTGCAGTTTAATCCAATGCAATTCCCAATCAATTCAGTTTACTAAATATAATGCCAGGAAATTCAGTTAATTTCGTATAGCTCAGTTCAATTCAATCCAATATGATTAGATTCAATTCAGTTCAGCTCAGGCTCGATTCATTTCAGGTTAAATTAAACTAGATTCAGTTTCATTCAGTTCATTCCAGTTCATTCCATTCAACTCAGTTTGCTGCAGTGGGGGCCATGGAGCTAAAAAACTGCAGCCCTTGTGTTCAGGAGTTGGAAGCAGCCGGCAGAAGGCCTGGCAGGAGGTGGACACGCGAGCAAAGTTTGCCAGCTGCATAAAGAAAGATGGGCGGGTGGCCTAAGCAAACAGATGAAGTTTAGTGATAAGGGCCCCAGAGGCCAGGAAAGTGGGGTGTTGAGGCTGGACACTGCTCCCACTCCAGGTGTGCGCTATGGACAGCCTGCAACCAGTGAGGGAGAGGAAGTGCCCTCAAGCAGCGGTTCCTTGGTGACAGTATCTACACCCCTGCACCAAGTGTCCTCCACAGGCCTGGAGCCCAGTCACAGCCTGCTAAGCACCGAAGCCAAGCTGGTGAGTGTCCTCCCCAGGTAGGGAAGACCCTTCCAACCTCATCTTCCCTTGGTGGGGAGAAATGATCCCTAGAAAGGCAGTGTGAGGCCCCACCCTCACTCAGCTTGGCTTCCCCTCCAAGGTCTCAGCAACTGGGGGTCCCCTGCCTCCTGTCAGCACCCTGACAGCACTGCACAGCTTGGAGCAGACATCCCCAGGCCTCAATCAGCAGCCCCAGAATCTCATAATGGCCTCGCTTCCTGGGGTCATGGCCATCGGGCCTGGTGAGCCTGCCTCCCTGGGTTCCACGTTCACCAACACAGGCGCCTCTACCCTGGTCATTGGTAAGCTGGTGGGGCTGAGGGGGCAGCTGGGGGCAGGGGGAGGGAGGCTCATGGGGCTCTACAGAACCCAAAAGCTGGAAGAGCCACTAGGACTCATTCATGGTTTTTTTTAAAGATTTTATTGGGAAATTGGGGGAGAGGAACAGTGTTGGGGAATTGGGGAAGGGGACCAGCCAAGTTGTTGTTCTTCAATCTTAATTGTGGAGGGCACCAGTCGCCATCTGGCTGCCCATTGGCAGCTCATGGCCTCTAAGCTCAAGGTGCTGTGTTCAATTAGTTGCGGGTGGGCATAGTCACCATCCCATGTGGGAGTCGAACCCGGCAGCCTTGTTGTTAAGTAAGAGTGCACGCCCTATCCACTGAGCCATCCGGGCGGCAGCTCAGCTCAAGGTGCTGAGTTCAGTCTTAGTTGCAGGTGGGCATAGCCCACCATCGAACAGGCAATCTTGTTGTTACACCAGCGGAGCCATTCTGCCACCTGTTGGCAGCTCAGCGACAGCTCAGCAACAGCTCAGTTCGGGCGCAGCGTCACTGGCCCATGTGGAAATCGAACCAGCAGCCCTGTTGCTCAGAGCTCTCGCTCTTAAGCTAACTCTTAACCAACTGAGCCANACATGCATCCAAGAAATACTGCAGAGAGATTCCATATCCTCTTTGCCTGGTTTCTCCCAGTGGTAGCATTGTGTGCATCACTGTATATAGTTCAGTTCAGTATCACAGGCAGGAAACAAACATTGATACAATCCATTGGCCTTATTCAGACTTCAGAGACCTGGGTTTTGAATCCTGGCTTTGTCACTTACTGGCTGTGTCCCCTTTGGCGAGTGACTTCATCTCTCTTAGCCTCTGTTCCCCGTTTGCACACTGGGAATGATAACAGTCCCTAACTCCCAGGGTTGTGACCGGATTAAATGAGATAGTGGATATCAAGCACTTAGCAGAGCCTGGCCATGAGCAGGAACTCAGTAAATGATAGCTGTGATGATGATGAAGATGATTACTGTCGTCATGATAATTAGTAAGTTTCACAGGACCTCTGACATAAAAATAAACCCCATCTCCAGAAAGCAGGGAGAACTGCCGACCAGGAAGCATGCCATTGGCGAATGCTGACAGAGGGGTCACGGTGCACTAGAGAGCAATGCTCTCACCATGTCCTCGCAGTAGATACCGCAAGGTGCTGGGAGCGTTCTCCTAACTGCCTTGCACATATGCAAAAGGTGTGACCCAAGGTCCTATACAGGAAATCAGTCTGGGAAGAAGGAGCGGAGATGACGTTGCTCAGGCATCTGACCCCGACCCAATTATCTATCACAGCGGTTCAATGTTTGTCCACGGGGGACATTAGGCAATGTCTGGAGATGTTTTTGGCTGTCACAACTGGTTGGAAGGGGTTGCTACTAAGATCTAGTGGGAGGAGGCCAGAGATGCTGCTAACCATCCTACACTGCGCAGCATGGCCCCCAAAACCAAGAACGATCCAGTCCAACATGTCAATAGTGCCAAGGCTGAGAAACCCTGATCTCACACAAGGGACCAACTGGAGTATCATTTAAGTCTCTGTGGAGGGAAATATAAAAGCACTGCAGGGAATAGTCTGACCATGGCAGCCCAGCATCCTGAGGCATTTCCACTTGGGGAAACATCCGGTGTGGATTGCTATAGTGCCAGGTGGGCCTTTTTACCTTAAAGCCAAACGGTCATGAAGAAAAACTGCTTCCATGGGGTGAAATGCCAACGACCTTCCTAAACAAATTTCTCACATTCTCGAGTTGGGGGATGGCACTGTACCACGGTGGTTTAGGCTGCTGAGGTCTGGCCCAACATTCTGCCTCAGAAGAGCAGCTGGCTTACACTTTGGGAGGGTTCTTTTGTCCTTTTTGACATCTACTTCAAATTGAAGGACTCTTT